GCCACAACGATGCCACCCGAAGGTTGCAGGAACAGCAACTCATATTCTGCTTGGGAACCCTGCAGCCCAATTGTATCAATGTGGATTTCACAAGCTTCAAAATCTCCCCTCCCACTACCGCATCCCAAAACCAGTCCAGCTCGTCCCTGCCTCCCTAACCTGTTCTTCCTCCCACCTATCCCCTCCTCCCACCTCAAGCCGCACCTCCATCTCCTACCGACCAACCTCATCCCGCCCCCTTGACCTGTCCGTCCTCCCTGGACTGACCTATCCCCTTCCTAACTCCCTACCTACACTCACCTTTACTGGCTCCATCCCCATCTCTTCGACCTGTTTGTTTCCTCTCCACCTATCCTCTCTCCTCTATCCATCTTCTATCCGCCTCCCACTCTCTCCCTATTTATTTCAGAACCCCCTTCCCCTCCCCCTTTTCTGATGAAGGGTCTAGGCCCGAAACGTCAGCCTCTCTGCTCCTATGATGCTGCTTGGCCTGCTGTGTTCAATCAGTTGGTGAGTGTAGGTTTTAAAATTCACAATCTGTCCATGGCAATATCTAGATAGGGTTTGGTGTCACAAAGATAAAACAGCTCAGTTCATGAAAACCCAGACATCAAATGAGTGCAGTTAACTCCTTTTATTGACCAGTAGTATCATGACAAAAAGAAAAGTTCACAGTAAAGCTCAAAGAAGAAGCTAACATGTACTGAGAATGCAGACATACCATGCATGAAAAAAACAGGGTGAGGTGACACTGTGTTTACCATTAACCTAAAGGAATAGGTAGAAATTGAGAGTCATGGCTGTAATTGGAATGCCTAACCTCATCTAGAGGAGTAAGTTTAAGCCATTTATTGCGATTGCAATGTGGAGTTGCTGAAACTCCATTTTTATAGGACATCTCTCACCATAGCTCTGCAACTCAAGTATTTCAAACTTTTCAGATTTTCTGAAAAAATATTTTGTTTCAAAGCAACAGCTGCAGTCACTGCCATCAGAATAAGACTAGAAACAATAGTTTGCTGTTCTTCATCTCACTGTAGGCTGTGATCAACAGTGCTGCCATGTTGTTTAGTTGACTGATATATAGGGATTTTGTTCTAGAGAAGGTGAGGTAAACCTTTCATTTCTGCATGGACACTTTTGAATTGATTGTAAGAAAATGAAATGATGAAAAATATATTGCAGTATTTACTCTAAAGTACGTAGAATTCATGTCACCAACATCTATATTCATATTAGCATTTGGCTTAAAATTCTATTGAAAGATTTGGTCTATTTTGCATTTATTGGTTATCCGAGACACCATGTTTTCGACATTTTTACACTTTTTTCTTAAATGTATTGGGTCCTCCAAATGAGCTGGAGTTTCTGATAAGTGCTTGGTAGGTTCTCAACATTTCGTAGATACACAGCCGCAATTCTTCACATAGGTGTAGGTGAACTCAATTGTAGTGTCATCTGGACAAATCAGTGTAATATTTTGCTTGCCAGTCGCTAATTCCTGACAGCAGGTGCAGTTATGAGAAATCGTATTTGCCTCAGGAGAATACCTGTCATAGAACCAAGAAATATTACTTCAATTACTGACTTTAGGATATGCAAAGATTAATTATTTATCTTTCAAATAATACAATATTAAAATATAAGTACAGCATGAACTCCCTCTCAATGTCTTTTATTATAAATCTCTATGTTCACACTTATAATATGTCAACTTGTCATAATATCATTACCCATGGATTTATTAGAGGCATTACAACATTACTCACGTGATGACAGTGTGACAAATATTCAAGCTCCATTTTAAACAGTGACATAAGACTCAGGAATTTGTAATTGAAGAATATAAAAAGATATAGTGTCTGACTCAAAGCTGAGTACTGACTGCCACCAAGGTGTAGCTGAAGCATGGCAGGTTTACACAGACAGTTTCTACTAAAAATGTGATGAGAGGAATTTATAATGAAAACTCTCATTTTTCCTAACAACCAGCCACATTTCACCTAAAGGATACCCTTGGACTTGAGTCCCTGTATCCACTAGTGCATTGTACTTTGTCAAGAATTTCCTCAAGAGATGCTTCTGCAACTTTACCAAAAGTGCAGCAGAAATTTGATTTCCATTTTCCTTCATCCTTCCAATAAAGTAACAGCAGAAGAATGTAAAAACATAAGAACTAGGAGCGGGAGTAGGCAATTCAGCCCCTCAAAAATATCATGGGAGATTTCATTTTCTCCTCAACTCCACTTTCCTGCTTGCTCTCTCCATAAACTTTCAACTCATTACTGATTAAAAATCTGTCTATAGAGTCATAAAGCACGGAAACAGAACCCTCAGTCCAACATAATCCCAAACTAAACTAGTTCCATATGCCTGCTCCTGGCCCATATCCTACCAAACCTTTCCTATTCATGTACTTATCTAAATATCTTTTAAACGTAATTCAATTCATATAGATTCCTGGCATCCACCGCATTCTGGGCTAGTGAATTCCACAGATTCATGACTCTCCTCATCTCTGATTTAAATTTGCCACCTGTTATCCTAAAACTATGACTTCCTGTTCTAGATTGCCTCACATGAGGAAACATTTTCTCTACGTCTACTTTGTCAATCATCTCGAGCATTTTATAGGCATCAAGTAGGTCTATAGCATGAATAGCTGTGAGAAAATTATCAAGGAATATTCCAATTCAGTATTGTGTAGTACTTAAAACAAAAGAATATTTGCAACAAAGAGGACCATTAAACTTATTAAATTGGATATTCCCCCATTCATCCCAATGGCCATTTGTCATATGCAAGCATTAGTGGGCTGTTCAACCACAGATGGCACTACCTTTGCAGCACTTAGACACTACGCTAGGTTCTTACATCCAAATTAATTATTGAAAATAATCTATGTAGCTGTCCCACCTTTGGAATGAGCAGGTATTTTGGCAAGTTTATATAGGCAGTTTTAGTTTTAATGTTGACATGGAAAATCACTTTGGAAGCATCAAAATAAGAACAGCATACGTGTTTAAAACAGTTGTTAAATTTCACTGCACACCCTGGTCCAATGATCCTTTTACATTTAATCCCTTTTTATCTGATGATTACACTTGGCCTAGACTTCCTGCACGCAGTACCATGGGAGATATGTAAATTGTCTGCATATGTACTCTTTCATGAGGCTGAATCTTGCTTGAAAATAACGCATGTTAATGATGCAAGCCGTCATTGATGTGCAAATTGCTTTGAAAGTTCAAGAGATTGTGTGATAAGCTGTGTGTTCTGAACCTTTAGGATTTACTGGGTGTTCCTGTACTTGTAATAATCTTTACTAATCTTTACTGTACTAATCTTTACGCAGCGGGTGGTGGGTGCCTGGAACGCGTTGCCAGCAGAGGTGATAGAGGCGGGCGCGATAGCGTCATTTAAGATGTATTTAGACAGATACATGAATGGGCAGGGAGCAGAGGGATACAGATCCTTGGAAAATAGGTGACAGGTTTAGATAGAGGATCTGGATCGGCGCAGCCTTGGAGGGCCGAAGGGCCTGTTCCTGTGCTGTAATTTTCTTTGTTCTTTGTTCTTTGTATTGGACAAACATCTCACGCTTAGTCTCCCAATCATTGTCATGAACTTATTAGATATCCACAGCAATTATCAATTTAATACGACACAGAAGGTTAGAAATGGAATTTAACAGAATAAGTACTTTTTAGAAGACTAATATGGCATTTACTGTTGCAATCCCAATTGATCAATCTCCTTGCCCCAGTAACAACTGTTCAATCTCATCATTTAATGTAGTAAGTTAGAATAGAATCCCTACAGAGTGGAAACAAGTCCACACTGATCCTCAGAGCATCCACCCAAACCCATCCCCCTATAACCCACCTAATCTACACATCCCTGAACACTACAGGCAATTTAGCATGGCCAATCCACCTAGCCTGCACATCTTTTGGACTGTGAGAGGAAACTGGGGCACCCAGAGGAAACCCATGCAGACATGGGGAGAACATGCAAACTTCACACAGGCAGCCGCCCGAGGATGGAATCAAACCCAGGTCCCTGGCACTGTGAGGCAGCAGCGCTAACCACTGTGCCACCGTGCTGCCCGATAGTTGTTAGAGATTTTAAAGCAGGACAGATTTAATTTGGGATTATTTTGTTTTGCTCTTTTCTGCCTCTTTACTATTTTTCATACAATCCATAAAATCCCTACATTGTGAAGGCAGGCCATTTGGCTCATTGAGTCCACGCTGACCCTCCAAAGAGCATCCCACCCAGACCCACCTCCTACCCTATCCTGCTTTTCCCACCCTAGTTGCTATGGGCAATTTAACATAGCCAATCTACATAACCTGTAAATCTTTGGACTGTGGAGGAAACCAGAGCACCCAGAAGAAACCCACGCAGACATGGGGAGAACGTGCAAACTCTACACAGTCAGTCTTTCAGAGATAGTAGGAACTGCAGATGCTGGAGAATCTGAGATAACAAGGTGTAGAGCTGGATGAACACAGCAGGCCAAGCAGCATCATAGGAGCAGGAAGGCTGACGTTCCGGGCCTAGTCCCTGATGAAGAGTCTAGGCCCGAAACGTCAGCCTTCCTGCTCCTATGATGCTGCTTGGCCTGCTGTGTTCATCCAGCTCTACACCTCGTTATCACAGTCAGTCTTTCCCTTACTTTACTTTCTGTTCCTGCTTTGACTTTAATTTATGCTAATTTGCTTCATTTTTCCATTGTTTGTGATTCAGGAAGTGCTGCTGTTCCCATTATTCATTCAGATCCCAAATATTCCATTGTACTTGCCATGTCCATAACAGCTTGTACTCCTAGCAAGTCATATGACAAAAAATGTAGAATTGAAGTGTGCACGATAAAAGCTAATTAATGGCCTACACTGCAAAACGTCCTGTTCCTGCAAGTTCTGTGCCATTATTTATCTTCATTTATTCATAGCGCTGAATATTTTGATGTGGGAGATGTGAAAACAGAAAACTAAAGCCATGATGCACACCTGTCCCTGATTATTTATAATAGCGCATTTTAAGACAGCTCAAGGACATGGCAGAGCTGATGTTTGCAGATAGAATGGAAATGCTTCCATTTCAGAACAACTCCTCAAGGAAACACTCATCAAGGCCCCAGAACCTCTTAATTTCTGTAAAAAGAAGCAAAAGATGTATTCTGTCCTTGAAATCTTAACTACCAGAAACAGATTGAATATGCCTGAACAAAATAAATGGCAACTGGCAATGGTTCAGCATAAAAGTGACAAGCTGGAATCATAAGATCATTTGATGAACAGTGAATAAATAACTGATAAGGGGCATTATCCTGACAGATCAAATTATTTGATGGAAAGCCAAAGAGGAAACTAAAGAAGGATTATTAAAAATGCTGAAGTAATAAACTGAGCCTGAACTTAGTAAGAATCAACCATACTGGTAGTATGAACAAATCAAGTTTCAATTTAACTGTTTGATTGATAACCAAAAAAGACTTGTGTTTAAGCACATTTCCTATCCATAAAACCTTACTGTTAGCACATTTTGTGGCAACATTCTTCTGCATAAACGTTTGTGTTTATAACGTAAATGGTCTACATAAATTTGCCATGCTGTAATCTCATTTCTCACTGGTGGTGGCCCTGCAGTGCTGCTGTACTGCATCTTTCAGCTCTGCAGGCAGATCCCTGTGCGCTAAACAATTCTGCTTCACAAATTGCACTATGTTTTGTGATGTAACTACAGATAGTATTTAAGTTTCAAAGTATCATATCAAATAAGCACAGGCATTGTCTCCATACATTCAACAGCCAAACCTTCCACTGTCTGTGTAGCAGAATGCTTGGCACAAGCACTGTCTGAGACCAACGTGCTAGTTTCATTCTCAGTTTCTCATATTTCTAATGCAAAAATTCTATTCCTGAAAAGGCTGTGCATGCCAAATCAATTAAAATTTTCAAGGCTGAGATTGAAGGATTTTTGTTTGGTAAGGCTATCAAGGAGAATGGAGAAAAGGTGACTTGGCTCCCTGCTAATTTCCCAAATCTCAGCCACTCCCCAAACTGCCACCCTGCAGGGAAAATACTGCCCTCCTTGATGACATTCACCTTGTTTTCAAGCATGCAACTCAGTGTTCTGAACTCCAAAGTCAAGCACAAGAACAAAAGGGGTCATTTTCATCCTGGATATTTAATGGGAGAGGCAGATTGCCTTTAGATAAAGAGTCACCGGACTTGAAACATTAACTCTGCCTTCTTCCCACAGATGCTGCCAGATGTACTGAGTTTCTCCAGCAATTTCTGTTTTTGTCTGAGGCAGATTGCCTTGCATCGCCCCCTTCCACTTCAGTTCTTTCCTTTGTTTCTTTCCAAACCAGGCTATAAAAATAACCATCAATCAGTTCTTACGTTCCAGAAGAGAGAAATGATGACTACTTTCAGCCTCCTGACAACATTTGTTTTTGTTCAGATTGAATCTGCAATCTTACAGGGATAGATGCACAGTACAAGATTAACAATAGAATCAAGACTGGAACACTACCAGGCTAACAATGACAATGATGCTGCCCAAAGTACTAAATACTAAATTTGTCAGACTACCAGCCATTAGTTCTTTAGCAGGAAGCAAATGGGTGATCACAGCAACCTTGCGCAGGAATTTCGTTGGAAACTAGCAAGATTTCAACCACCAGGAATCATTTGATAAACACTGAACAGCTGTCTGGCCATTTCTTCACTTGCTTCCTAATAGGTTTACCTGTTGAAGTCCAGTGGAAACTTAATTTACTGCAAAAACCAAATGACTGAATTTAAAGGAACACAGTTGCAAATAGAACCATTCAATTGAAACAGCTTTACAAAGCATTCTAACTCTACCCTAACTAAATGTTTTATGTGGTTCTAACATTTCCCTGTTCTTACAGTCCACTGAGTGGCTGATAAAGAAAAGTATCGCATATCTTCTGAATCACCATATCTACTTGCTTTGCTGCCTTTATAGACTTGTGAAAATGTATTCCAAGGCCCCACAGTTCCTTTGTACACTCCAGCAGCCTAATGTTTATTTAACCCTTCTGCCCAAATGCATTACTATGCACTTCTATGGATTGAAGTCTATTTGCCACATTCTGCTCACGTGACCAGCATGTTCCCTCAGGGATGTGTGGGTGACAGAAACCCAAAAGGTCATAAGTAAAGTACACACGTTACATGTGTAACCATCAAAAAAAAAGAAAAGGTACCACACTTTAATAAATCAGATAAACGCTGCAAAATATAATTACAGAAGAGTGGTATTTTTTATGATCCACAGCTTTCTGTAGTTCACAGCTTTCTACAGTCGACAGCTTTCAACCTCACTACCGACCACATGGCAAACTCCACCAGCACTGCATCACAAAAGTACATTGACTGTTACTCTTTGTTTCCTGCCACTTACATAATTTTAGTTCAACTTGCCTTTGTTCTTTATTTCCATGGGTTTTAACCTTTCAAACAGTCTCCATTGGGGGCCTTGTTATGCTTTATTAAAATCCATGTAGGTTATATCACCTTCTTTGATCCTTCTTGTCAGATCCTCAAAAAGTTCAATTAATCTAGTCAGGAAGGACCTTTTCTTAATGAATCTACGCTGACTCTCTTTGATTAGTCAGTTCCAAATGATGATCAAAGCTGTCCCACAGGCTTGCTTTTGTATTATTTGTCCACCACTGGGCTAACTCACTACTTAGTCTTTCCCTTTCCCCTTTAATATTCTTTAATGTTCACTAAGAACCATACTCATGTCTCTACCTGCATACACATAAGATGCCCCACGATAAACTAATAGGGTCAGAGAATACAAAGTCAGGGGATATGAGAGGCACTACATTTTAGCTGGAAGGAGAGAGAGGTCACATTACTTGGAAAGTGTAAGTCTATATGGAGTAGCAGAATAGACTGATCTCAGAGTACAATGAACTAATCACTACAAGTTGTTCCACAGGTTAACAGAGCATGAAATAGTGAACCAAACGCTGGGGGATTTTATTTCTAGATGGGTAGAATTGAAAAGTACGGAAATTATGTTAAACCTATATCAAACCTTGGTCACTATAATTAGTAAAGGGATATAGAGGCATTGGCGAGTGCATTGCACGCCAACACCAGAAAAGTGTGAATACATATATATAGGGAAAACAGGAACAAGTTAGGTCAGTTTTCTCCTGCAAAAATAAGGCTGATGTCTCTCCTAATGGAAGTCTTCAAAATGATGAGCAGTTCTAATCAAGTAAACGCAGAGACATTGTTTCTATTTGATTCTATCTCAAGTCTCTGTCGGACTACCTCTTGGGCTCCTGAGTTTTCTCTGAATATGTAACTATCTATTTCTCATGTTTCAGCTTGTTCATCCCTCTTTCTCCCCAATATTTTTCTTATATACTGTTTTCTCACTGATATTCCACTGTGAATTGATATTCTCTCCCTCATGTAAATTTCTCCCAGTCAACTCTCTTCCAGGTGTATCTTTCAGACTTTGTATTCTCCTTCAAAAATTGCTCTGAATGTTTGACACTGTTTAACATTTCTGCCATCTGTCTCTCCATGATGTTATTTTTGGACTTTGCCGTTCCCTGATGTTTCTCTCAGTTCAGTGCTCCCACTTTATATTTCTTGTTGGATGCTTCTCTGTGAGCCCACTCAGATGTTTCTTATACTTACATAGAATAGGTCAAACACCGCCCTTCGCAGTAAGTCATCGATACGTTTTGTTTAGATCGACATCCTTGATGGTTGATATAGGTTGTGGTTTGAGAAACTGTACATGTCTTTGGGATACCTATGATTGTGAACATCATTAAGATCATTAAAGTTCAGTGAGGTTGATTCAGATAATTTTTCATACATTAAAGCAGACAATAAGATGAAGGTAACATTTTAAATTTAATATCTTGCACAATTTTATTTTTTGGTATAATGATTTATAGATTCTTAAGTCCAAAGTAGTGAAATGTGTACACATTCACAGAAATTACCCAGCAAATTCAGATTACAAGGGGATGATCTGCACAGCCATCTGTGAAATTCTACACCAGATACAAGCATACAAATTAGGAGTAGAGTAGCCCCCTCAAACCTACTCCATCATTTGTAAAATTGTCTTCCTTTTATTCACGAGATGAGGGCGTCGCTGGCTAGGCAGCATTTATTGCTCATCCCTAATTGCCCAGTTTGAAAGTCAACCACATTGCTGTGGGTCTGAAGTCACTTGTAAGCCAGACCAGGTAAGGATGGAAGTTTCCTTCCCTAAAGGACATCAGTGAGCCAGAGGGGCTTTTCCCGACAATCGACAATGGATTCACGTCAGCAATAGACTCCTAATACAGCATTTTTATATTGATTTCAAATCCCATCATCTGCCATGACGGGATTCAAACCAAGGACCCCAGGACATTATCTGTGTCTCTGGATTAACAGTCCAGCAGTAATACCACTAGGCCTTCCCCTAAGTGGGTCGAATCATATTAAAAAATTACATCTTCAGGCATCCCAAATTGTTTTACAGCCAGTTAAGTAATCTTAAAGTGTATTCATTATTGTGTTCAAGGCAAATGTGATACCCAGTTTGTGCTCAACAAAGTCCCACAAACAGAAATTAAAACAAGGTGCACTGAATTTGTTTTAGCAATGTTGGTTGAGGGATAAATGAGAGCTAGACAACCGGGAAAACTCTGCCCTTCTTCAAATAATACTGTAGTGTTTTTTGCATCACTTTGATAGAATTTATATATTGTTTGGTAAAACTGTCACCTAAGATTTGATACCTCTGTCAATGAGATGCTCTCTTGCAACATCATTGCAGAGTCAGCATCAAATACTTACTTGAGGCCTGAAACAAGGTTTAGAACAAATGACTCTCCAAATGAGTTGTGGGAATTCTTATGACAAAGCCAAGGCTAACATTGAATTAAATTCACTTCCAACCAAATTGCATCAGTTTGACTGCATTTTAATTTAGAGCCACAGGGAGATTTTAAAACTGTTTAAATGCACTACTTACATTTCTGACAACAGCCATCTGAGTCCATGTGCATTGTTCCCTGTTGCAGAAAATCAATTAGAAATTGTTCTTTGAAAATTCAAATCTGACAAAACTTCTGGTTATTTAATTTACAGAACAGATTTTGTTATCCTTGTACTCACAGGTTCACAGTTATCAGGATCCAGTTGGGGACACCTTTGATGATAGATGTTTGGAACAAAGTGAGATCCTATTTTCTTACACTCATATTTAGTGCAATTGTTCTTTGAATCTGACATTACAGCTCCAGGCTGTGCAATTAAAGGAAAGGAAAAGTTTTCAATGGCAAGTAACTACAGAGAAATGTGAGCACTGTGGGCTCTGTCAGCCCATCAATCTTTATTACTATGACAATCACATGTACTGAATGTCAAAGTGGATAATTTATCTTTCCCTGCATATAAGGATCTCTAATACAATGTCTATGAACTCTTTCTATATTGTAAAACCACAGGTTACTCTAACAATTAAAATCATAGTTACAACTGTACTGTGAAAAACATTCCAAGTACATTCCAACACGACCAATGAATAAATGTTAAGATGCAGCTTTGTTTATTTACCATAGGCATGCAATTTATAGTAAGCTGCAGTGGTGGCCAATGCAACTGCGTACGACACACATATGTGCAACAATTCTTCCTTGGGTTCCACGGTCATTTATTTTTTATTACACCTCGGTGAAATCCCTTGGGATGTTTTCAGCATCAAAGTTGCTCTGTAAACATTTGCTTGCTGAGCAAGGGGATCACAGATTCCTAATCTCCATTATAAAGCTGAAGAAAGAACTCGGGACCTGATCACATCAATGATTATTTCTGAATCAAGCTTTAGCTGTTTGCACAAGGGCAACATTTTCTAGGGCTGAATTGTACTGTTTTTACGCAAACTGCAAGTCATGTCGAGCTCAGTGGTGTGATTCTCGCAGTGAGGGTGAGTGGGTATTTTCACTGTATCTTAACAAAATCGCTGTATTTATTGCCATTTGATGCCTCACAGAAAGAATCATGTTTAATTTCTGCCCCCATCTGATGAAGAGTCATCTAGACTCGAAATGTTAACTTGTTGTCTCTCCATGGATGCTGTCTGACCTCCAGAAGTTGTTGTTTTCAGCTCATCTTATCACTTGCTGTTTCCAGAGCAACATGCCTCTCAGCACAGGTACTCCCCAAGACCAGTAACCGTTGCTGCTACCTCAAAGCTATGCTGCATGGCTGTGGAAGGCGCAAGGAGAGATGGCGGTGAAGTGGAGGCTCACGCCATGCTTTTCTGAGAGAGACGTGGAGTTCCTGGTGATGGAAAGGAGAGGAATCCTCTTCCCGGAGAAGCGGCACAGGGAGCCAGTTCACTATACTATGCCAGTTTGGTCAGGGATCACAATCCATGCCAGTGCCATCTCCAGGGTGAGGAGGACCCTGCTCTCTGCTGTCTCACACTTAACAACAGCATCCACTTTTGCTCTAAAAGCCCCTCTGTTGCATGAAACACCTTCCCTCACTCATTCTCAGTAGTCCCATCCTTCCACATCAGTAACCCTGCATCTTTTTTTTATAGAATCCCTACAGTGTGGAAACAGGCCCTTTGGCCCAACAAGTCCACACTGAGCCTCAGAGCATCCCACCCAGACCCATCCCTCTGTAACCCACCTAATCTACACATCCCTGAACACTACAGGCAATTTAGCATGGCCAATCCATCTAACCTGCACATCTTTGGATTGTGGGAGGGAACTGGAGCACCCGGAGGAAACCCACACAGACACAGGGAGAATGTGCAAACTCTACACAGACGGTCACCCGAGGGTAGAATTGAACCCGGGTCCCTGGTGCTGTGAGGCAGCAGCACTAATCACTGAGCCACTGTGCCACCCCTGTGTGCTGTGTGCTCTCCTCTGTGCAGTCTCCTCATTCCCTCAGCACCTTTCTCTGACGTGCATCAGCGCTAATGGCCCTGCCACACACTTTCATCTTACCCATTTGGCCCCTTTATGTCATTACAGAGATGACAGTTCATAGCAGGATGAAGAGATGTCCACTAGATGGTGAGTGCCACCCTCACTCCCCTCCAAGGAAAGGAGACTCGCCCTAGCTGGAGAAGACAGGGACTGCTCCCACGGGGATGAGGAGACATCCATGTCCTGACACTTCTCATCCCACTGCAACGGTCTCATTAATCAGTGCTTGCAAAACCTTCTGCTTCTTATATTTCCCAAGGACCAGTCGTCATCCACAGACCAGAGTGCCTCGACCTCTCTAGATGACAGTGTAGATGCAATACAGAGACCATCTTTGACACTGCATCCTGGACTCCCCAGCAACATGGATAAGGATACTGACAGCCCTGCAGATGGGTTTGGGAATAACACACAGACCACTGGTAGTCGGAGAACTGCAAGAGACCAGGCACCTGCTCTGCCCTTGGCAAGAGAAGACCCTGTGGTCTCGGCAATGAAGGCCTTCACCATGAAGGAACAACAGCTGCAGCTGGTAGGTGCAGAGAAGGGACTAGCTTCAAACCTGACAAGCCTGGGCAATGTAGTCAGCCCAGTGATACACTACCTGTCATTGGCTCACACTCTACAGCAGCGTAGCCAATCCTGCAACCATCTGTCTGCCTTCATGGGCAAGTTGTCTGCTGCTAGAGAGAGGCAGGCCCAGTACCCTCAGAGGCTGCCGGAGAGTCAACAATTATACCTGCTGTCCCGGGCATTGGCCCTTAAGATAAAAGGCAGGTCAAAAGTGAGAGAGCCTTAAGCCTAGTCCAGGTTTGCCTTTCTCACAACGAGACAGGGTGGTGCCATGAGGCACCCAGCCAGGGGCGAAACCACACACAGGTTCTTGCTACTGTTTCAACTCAGGACACTGCAAAGGTAGCCCAGCCCTTGACTGCCAGCCTGCCTGGCCCCCTCCAATCCTTGGAAGTTCCAACCAGAGGGTCAACTTGCCTGTGGCAAAAATATCCTTGGCATGTCTGGCCCATTCAGACTCAAATGCCCAGGAGTTGCTCGACCAAACATCCAGGGCCAATAGGCACGACTAGATCACTCCTTGTTCATTGACAAGGTGCAATGGTTGTGGGTGTACAAGGACCATCAAATACATCAAGTAGGAACAACAGTAGCAACGCATGTGTATGGCATAGGCTCACTCTGTCACTATCATCGTTGCCTACTGTTTGGCTGGTTGTGTGCACAGAAGTGTACATCTGAGGGAGTTCCCAGCAGTGACAGCGACAGGGAGGTGCAGACAAGACAGTCAATGCTGCAGGATGGCTAGGGAGTAGAGACCCTGCATGTCTATGCTGTCAAACTGTTGTAGGACCATGCTATTCCCATGTGAATGCCCAATGACTGGATACAGATGCAACCCCTCGCTCACACACTGCTCCATTAACCCTGGCCATCACAAGTCTCTTTGTGGCCATTTTCTTCAACATTGCACATTTTCTATGTGCTCCACAATTGAAACAACAGCGAGCCGTCCTCTGGCAGTGGCTTTCTGCCTCAGCATGAACGTGCTGCTGAGACTCTCAACATCAGGCTCGCCTTCCTAGGCACCTATTCCGTCAACACTACAGACTTCACATTTCCTGTGATAGGGTAAGTTTCATAATGAGCTAAGTAGCAGGTGACCTGGTGGGATATCTCACCAGGGATGGGAAGTGGGCAACACATTAATTACACCTAATATGTTTGCCTTCACACTTCGAAACAAAGCTGGAAAATTGTTCCCCATGTCTTCAATGCATCTGTCTGGGCCTTTGAATTACTCATCCAGTCACGTTACCATTATGCTACTGTCCTCTCCCTGTAATGAGAAGGCACGTTGTGATATTGCACAAAATGAAGGGAATATATCAAAAGATATATATCCCAGTATTTATTCTTTAACACTGCTGGGACCAAAGGATTTCTTTAAATGCTTCAGGAGGCAAACCACGCCATGTAGAATATCATTGTGTTTTCACTCAATTTGAGGGAAGCACCGTAGGAACTTATTTTGGTACTTCAGTAAGGTAACTATGCCTCCTGATGAAATGCCCAATAGAGTTTTGTTCATATAGGCTGGTTTCATCACCATAGAATCCTGACAGTGTGGAGGCAGGCCATTCAGCCCATACCGACCCTCCGAAGAGCATTCTACCCAGACCCACACCCCTTATATTATCCTTGTAACTCTGCATTTCCCATGGTTAACCTGCACATCCTGGACACTATGGGCAATTTAGCATGCCCAATCCACCTAACTCCTGCACATCTTTGGACTGTGGGAGGAAACCCACCCAGACACAGGGAGAACATGCAAACTCCACACAGACAGTTGCCTGAGGTTAGAATTGAACCTGAGTTCCTGGCGCTGTGAGGCAGCAGTGCTAACCACTGCACTACCCAGTAATTACTTTGTAATCTGTTGTTGAAAAGGTTTTGTACCTTTGGTTTTGTACCTCAACTGGAGTACTGTACCCAATTCTGGACACTACACTTTAGGAAGGATGAGAAGCTTTTAGAGAGAGTGCAAGAAAGAAAGATTCCCAGGATGAGGGACTTCAATCAGATGAATAAATCAGAGAAAACAGTTAGCATGGTGACTCAGTGGTTAGCACTGCTGCCTCACAGTGACAGGGACTTGGGTTCGATTCCACCCTCAGGTGACTGTCAGTGTGGAGTTTACAAATTCTCCTCATGTCTGTGTAGGTTTCCTCTGGGTGCTCCAGTTTCCTCCTGCAGTCCAAAGATGTGCACATTAGGTGGATTGGCCATGGGAAAGGTGGGGTGGGTGGGATGCTCTTTGGAGGGTCAGTATGGGCTAAAGGGCCTGCTTCTACACCGTAGGGATTCTATGACAAGGTTTAGGAGAGAGTTGATAGAGGTGTTCAAAGTATAAAGGTTCTAAACAGAATAGATGGAGATAAATATTGTTCCCACTGGCAGAAGGGTCAAAAGGCAGAATACATCTTTTCTTAAAAGACAAGCAAAAGAACATGAAAATAAAATATTTTTATATAGCCAGTGGTCAGGATCTAGAATGCATTCCTTGCATGTGTGATGGATGCAGGTACAGTTGGGGCTTTCACAAGCAAAATGAATAAGGACTTGAAGAAGAAAGATTTTCAACACTAAGGGTGAAGGAATGGAATTAGCTGAATTGCACTTGTAGAGACACAGTAGGGAAACAATGGGCTCAATGGCCTCCTTTTTTGCTGTAACCAATCTAAGACTCTACAATTGTGCCTCCAAATTAAAATATTTAACAATTCCCTAAGCAATAAACATATCTCCACATTTTTACTCATAGTTTTGTGCTTGAATCGTGATCATGTTGCATTTTTCTGAACCTCATCAATTTGCTCATCACTTGCTGAAAATGGAGTAAAGTCTTTTTTCCCATTTCAGTTCCTTTGATTTTTTTGTTCAACAGACCAACTTGACAATTCCAAATAATATCCTTTATTTTAAAGCGTACTACAGCTCATGTTGGTTCAAGTAGAAACCCGTCAAACATTTCAAGTCATCTCTTCACATAACAAAATAGTTGAATATTACATTCTAACGTAATGCCTCAAAATCTTGAATAGATGTTTTTTATGGTGATACCAAATGAACATAATACGTAATGGAGTATGCATACCTGGAGGATTATTGGTGGTTGATTTGGGACCTCAATTATACAGTCAACCTGTGTACACTTCCCACAGCATTGTCCTTTCACCTCCTTATACTTAAAACCCTGTGAGGAAACAATACACTGTTGAGCACTGTCCTTTTCTTAAGTAAAGTGGAATCATTACTGATTTCTGAACAGCATACTCACTGGTGGACAATGAGAATCACAAGGGATGGTAGTACACTCAATAGTTTTGTGCTGTGTTGATGGATCAGTTTTATTGGTACATTTGCAGTTCTCACAGGGGCCCTGAGGAATAACCATTCCTGGCTGGAAAGGAAGATGAACCTTTCAATGAAATGCTTTGTAAAATTTTGTGGGTCTTTTTATCCATCAATATGGTGGATTCTAGTAGATGAAGTTAATTAAAGTTATGGAGACTTAGTTTCCCCTGCTACTTTATGAACTGCATGAAATCCATTCGTGCATCATTTTAGCACAGTTATTAACATTAAATACATAAATATATTTTAACTAGATTATTGTTTTAATGCTAAATTAATATTTTAGTAAACACAGAAGCACTCTGTTTCAGTTTCACTACTCAAAACATTCACTTTATTTTGTGCTGTTTTGGCAATATGAGTTTTAGAAGTGAGAATTAGAAGTTAAAATTATGGAAACGAAACACTGAACATGTGAGAAACACCAACAAATCATATCTTAAAATGTCTGAATGTTCTTTACCTTGTACTCAGTGTCATTGAACACACACACTGGCTTTGGCTCTGAAAAATGAAATGTTATGCCATTAATGTAAGCATTAGTTTGCAATTAAAGTGCAGACTGTAAGCATGATACTACACATTGTTATTGGTGATACCAATAAAATATTATTTATTCCACATTAAAGATAGTTGCAACTACTTACCGCATTTGTAACTTGGACAACATTTGTCTTCATTAATATGGTACACTGGTTCATATCCAGGTTTGCAATCAAATTTCAAAGTGGGACAGTGGGTCACATTACATTCTAAATGAATAAAAAATTGACACTGCTTAAAAAGCTTGAAGTTATTCTTTCATTTGAGTACCTAATTTGAAGTGATATCAATGAGAGACATTTATTCAAGATAAAAAAAACCCAACAAACCTATTCAAGTAATTCAACAGTAGTAACTGAAGAGACCAGAAATACTCAAAACAGCAAGTTTTGACTTTGTAGGCTCCTTTTTATTCCTTAATAGAAGAATCAACACACCTCAGCATAGGTAACAATAGGAGATAACAAGGTGTAGAGCTGGGTGAACACAGCAGGCCAAGCAGCATCGGAGGAGCAGGAAAGCTGACGTTTCGGGTCGAGACCCTTCTTCAGAAATAGGTAACAATATAACCAGGTAACAATAACCAATGGGCTGAAAATGACATTTTACTGGTTAAGTGGGAGTTGTGTCAAGTTTCTCGAAGGTCTCTTGCCACAAAGCCTAGTGAGATTTCTCACCATACTTATCAAGCTGTCTCATTAATTATGTGCCCCGCAACATGCCGTTGCTCTCACATGATTTGAGCCCCATCTTACTTCATGTTATTCCCGGAACAAGCTGCCATTCAGCAGATATCCACTGAAACACCAGCATCACAAGTACCCGTGAAATCTTTTAAAGGTTGCAGTGCACTGGGACAAGCATTGGAAATACATTATTGCCCCTCACTGGCAATGTAGTGGCACACCACCCACAAAGTCATGCATTTACTGTATACAGCTGGCATGACTGACACTTCTTTATACATACAATCCCATTCTCTCATCCTATTCACTGTTTAACCAACAGACCATACAGATTACCTGTTCTTAGCTACGTCCCATCTGAACACTCTCTAAGTCAGAGTTTCTCTGTCCCCAGTGCCTTGCTGGACACCAGACTCTTGTCATTGTCAGCAGGTCTGGGGTGTTCAAGTCCAGTTCTGAAGAAGGATCACTGGACTCAAAGGGAAAATTGATAAGAATCTGAAGAAGAATTTCAAGGCTAAGGGAAAGAGTGAAGGAATGGAATTAGCTGAATTGTTCTTGTAGAGAGCCAGCAGGGAAACAATGGGCTCATTGCTGTAACCATTCTAAGACTCTACAATTATACCTCTAAATTTAAATACCCATCAATTCCCTCAGCAATAAGCATATCTCCACATTTTTACTCATATTTTAGCGCTTGACTCATAAGCATGTTGCATTCTTCTGAACCTTATTAACTCACTGATCACTTGATGCAAATTGGCAAAGTTAACTTGCTTTCAATTCAGTTCTTTTGATTAATTCTACACCTTTTGTTCAACAGAGCGCCTTGACAATTCTGCTTTCTGTTTAACTCTGCTTTCTCTCTACAGATGTTGCAAAACCTGCTGAGTTTCTGTTTTTGTTTTCTATTTTTGTTTTCAGATTTCTAGCATCCCCTGTTCTTTGATTTATTTTACTAATCTACTAGAACCAGATGTTAATCAGGTCCTGTGTGGCTTGTAGCACCTGACAGTGCCTAACTCTAACATTCACAAGGACAGCTTCTTACTCCACAATAACCTCAGCACCCTCATCAGAAGACTGTTCCTGCTCCCCCAGTTCCTCAGCATTTATCACATCACCTCATTGGCTGCTCCAATTGTCCACAGCACAGCTCTCCAAGGTGATCCGAAACACTCTATCTGGACTATACTGGAGATCAGCCCTAAGTGTTCCTAGCAACAGAACCACATCTTCACCACAGCCCTGGTCAAAGCATGAACGGCAATATATCTGAGTTTTGGCTTAGTCAGGTATTGTGTAATGAGTCAAAGTTGCAATGGCTAGTTCTTGTTCCCCAGCAACCAGCCTTGTAAGGTACCTGGACCCTCAAATGCACCAGATACATAAGGATGCACCAGGATGCCAGAGTTCTGGCAGCTGCCAGGATAGCAGGCACAAAAAGTGGTAACAGTGATCATATATCACCTGATCATTAATGGAATAGAACCCCTTACAGCTGACAAATTCTGCAGAGCTGTGATACGGTCTTCTCAGTGCCACTGTATGCAGGCTATAAAGATCATGCCTTTTTTTTTTGCATTTTTGATAATGGACTGAAATGGGAAAATAACTGTTTTAAAAACTATCAGAGATAGTAGGAACTGCAGATGCTGGAGAATCCGAGACAACAAGGTGCAGGGCTGGATGAACACAGCAGGCCAAGCAGCATCCTCTGCTCCTATGATG